AAGCACTATAGATCTGGGCATCAGTGTGCTGACAAGAGTTTACGAGTGTGTGTGTGTGTGTGTGTGTGTGTAGAGATACAGTGGTTAAGGAAAGGTTTAGACTGGGATAGTGATTTGCTTGAAGCAAAGCCTCCTGTATACCTTTCATTATGCTCTAATATAGAACACACCTGCACGGTGATTGGCACCTTTGGTATCCCCTTGGGTCATGTAGAAAGTGTTCCTTGCCCTGCAGAGTTGCAGGGTCTTGTGTAAGCTTGCTTCAAAATTGATCCATATTTCAGGGAGTTCATATGCTAGTGAACTCTGAAGATGACAGCTCAAATACACATGATATATATAATTTTTGTTTGAAAAAGCTTTCTCTATCAAGTTTCTACTAAAGCTGTGATTTATAGTGTGAATAGCGACCAAACCCCAAACACTGGGATTGCAATCAGGTCCTTAATGATTACTTTTCCAAAAACACATTATCTTTGTAGTGAGTTTCAGCAAGAGTAACTGTGAAAGGATGGTTTGGGGGATTTTTTTTTTTTTTGTCATTTGTTTGGTCTTATTGCTATTAAATTACACCAATTTAGTCATTTACATATCTAAATCCAGTGAGCCAAATTTTCAGCCTGAAGTTACTGAGTGCAGGTACCCAGACAGCAGAAGTGTGGTGTCATTTTACAGTAAGGAGGACCTCAGCAGCTATGATGTGAGGACAAGATCTCCAACTATTTGATAATACTTATCAATACATGTAAGCGGAAGTGAAGAAAGCAGCATGTCATATCAAAACACGGGTGGAGTACTGTTCACCTGAATTGGGATTTGGGACTGGACTACAACAATAATGTAGTTTTTGCCATCTAGCTGTCTTCCCTTGGCATGATCGTTAAAAGTTATTAAGTGACCAATGTGCAAATAAGGATGATGGGTGTAATTTGTGGGTTTTAATTTCAAATATTAAATCAGAGTTTGTGCACTATCTGTTCCTTTCAGCACAGCTTCAATTTAGAGTTCCAAGTATAAGAGAATGCAATATAATATAATTGTGGTCATTTTATTTTCTTCAATAAGAACAATCATTGCCTGTAGCTGGTTTCAGAGTGTTGAGAGCAACTTGAAACTGTTACTGACTGTCTGTTAAAAGAAGTCTCAAGCCTGGCAAATGCCTTTGGAGAGTTTTTGTAATTGACATTATATTTAGCTTTTAGATGGAGAAGCACACACTGTTCAGAACAGCTGGCAGTCACTGAAGTAAAATGAAAGGCATTGTTTTGCAAAAAACCTCAGGTGAGAACAAAGTAAACAATATCCTAATTATTTTACCTTAGTCAATTAAAAGTTAGTATGTCTATTAAGATCTTGATCTTTGTCATACTGAAATTAATGGTAAAACTCCCACTGACTTCAATAGCAATACCAAAATGCAAGAATAAAACCACTTTTCAGAATGAGCTGAAAGAACTACTGCCTTCAAGTTTCCAACATTATATTTAATTACAAGAATAATGTTTTGAGCAAATGATTAGAAATCAGGAGCCCTGTATCATGTTCCTGGAACAGAAAAGTGAATGCTAAGATTTAAGGACATGTCCTGAATGAAGCTATTTTCTGGAATTAAAAGTTTTATTCTGATCACTGATCACTGTTCTCTGTGTCTGTGGCATTTTCAGTCAGGGCACCATCTTGCCAAAGTGGCACACACTCTTGCCATTGGTGTCAGGGTAATGTCTGGGTCAACACCTTGCAGGTGCAGGATCTTGGTAAATATCTTCATCTTTACAACAGATGAGCTAATGCAGATACTATGAAGTTAAATAATATTATATATTCTGCAGTGCTTAGAGGTGAAGTGATATGTAAATGCAAGGGTTTGCTGTGATATTAACATATAATTTCAGATGTGAAAGACATCTGGTTTCCCAGGATATTGGTTCTCTGCTTTAGATGTTTTTATTGACTTCTAAATTAACTATCTGATTGAGAGCTGAGCACTTGCTATGTAAGTCCTAACTATCTTTGCAAGGTGGAGGACAGCTGGGGAACATTCCAGTGTAATGGTTTGCCAGCAGCAATCTCTCAAAGTGCTTAGAAGTCTCTGTCTAAAGCTGAGCAGTAGTGAAACAAGGAAAGGATGGCGATTAATAGAGGATTACTTATGCACCTTAAGATAAGATGAAAAGCTGGAGCAATTAGTGAAGTTCTTAAATATGCTAAAGTGTCTTGTACATATTGCTTTTGCATCCTTGGAGTCTGAAACCTGATTTCAGTGTATGTTTTCTTCCAGACTTGGAAGCTCCTGCTCTGAAGAAGTTGTGTTGATTCTAGTCTATTAACTGCAGAAGAGTAAAAGTCCTGTCTTATTCCATCTTCAGTCTGATCATAGCCCTTCCCTTTTGGAAGTTTGTGGTCATGTCCATATCCGAAGGTATGCTGAGCTCTTGCCTCTTTTCCTTTTAGCTTGGTTTTCTTGCATAAACTGCTAGACTATTCTGAAAGTGCTCTGTGCTTTCCTTCCACATAAATGTAGAGCTCTGCTTGTGTTTCTGGTTGTTTGTCTATCCTGGTTCTCACATGTTCCTCAAACAAGGACCAAGGGGGAGCCCTGGATCATGGTTGTACTAACTTCCCACAGAAATGCCCAGGCAATTTCCCTAGCAGCAATGCTGACCAAAACACATTATAACAATGACATAGAGAACCAAGTCATAGGTAGAAAAGTTACAGCACAGGTTTACTTGGAGAGCCTGAGGTAGCTAATCTGTGATTAGTGATTGCTTATGGAGAGCCTGAGGTAGCTAATATGTGATTAGTGAATGCTTATCATTCCAAGAGTTTAATAAAGGACCAAAAAATTGAATATATTTAAATTAATTCCCCACAAGTTACAAAAAAATTAGTCTAGAATGTGCAATGGTACCTTGGTTTTAGCTTCAGCAATGGCTCAGGGGGCAGCCACAATTCTGGAAAGGCCTTGATTTGGAAGACAAGCAGATTCAGATCTAGATCTCAATTCCAGTGCTTGTATCCATTGCAATATGGCATGTGCTTGATGGAGCACTGAAATAGGAACTGAGAAAGTTAATAAACCCTTTTTTCCCAGTGTTATATCCGTGTTTAATTTCTCTTCACTGTTTGCATTTACAACAGATTTGAAAGTCTGACATTTTACGGGAATATAATAAGACTGATAATTAAAGCAAGCTGAAAGAATCCAAGCCAAAGTCAATAGTTACCTATTTTCTTTTTCTTTTGTAAGCAGAAGCTTGTCAGGTTCAACAGAAAAATTTTCTTCATTATAATTTATTACAAAAGCTATAAAAAGGAGATATCTTGAAAGAGTAAACCTGCATCTTTCTTTCCAAAACTGTTCTAGAAAGTTGAGGGAGATTAAACTGAAAGGGATTATATTTTCAAGCTTTCCCTGCCAAAAAAAAAAAAACACTCCACAAACAAAACCACTAAATGACACAATTGCAAAATTGGGCTCTATCCACAGAAGAGGTAATGCCTGGCTGGGTTTCATATAGTACTCTATGGATGCTCTATGAGAAATTGGGCCTTGGGCAGGGACAGCTGCGCTGCTTGGGTGCCCACATCTACAGGGCGCTGGGATACAGTCAGCTGCAGGAAAGGAGAGGGGCTATTACACCTGACAAAGGTACTAGTCTGAGAGATGGAGAATTTCATAGGCTGTTTAAGCATCTTGCAAAGTGTTAACATCTAATAAGAGAGCTTAGGCCCAAATGCTGCACTTCTGCAAACATTAATACAGGCTGTTGTTAGCCAGGGGAAATACTTTGTGAGGCTCATTAGTTTAATTGGTCCCTGTCATCTAGTTAAAAAGGAGGAAAGAAATGCTCCTGACAAAGGCACAGGCTCTGTGCAAGTGTTGTTTTGCTGCTGTAGCTCTGCTGTGAGCTGGCTGGCTAGCGTGGGGTGCCAGCATCTATCACAGCCTTGTCCTCCATTAGCACAGGGCAGAGCAGGCAGCAGCTCCCTGGCACAGTCACATGCCTGAACCACCACCACCACTGTAACCAACTTGGGTGTGTGCATGCCTCTGCCACTATGGCACAGGTTTGGGGTGACACCTGCCTGAATGCTCTGGGTCTTTTTGCTGTGGGCAGCCATGCGTGCTTCTCCTCCTTCATCACTTCTAAGGGTGAGTGGCTCACAAAGATGCTCATCTCTAAAATCATTGTAAGCACAGCTGTGTGGAAAGCAGGATTCAGCAGGGACTGGTTTTGGAGACTAGTTGCATGTATGTCCTGTTGTATAAGCAGAGATAAGCCATAGACCTCTATTTCCTAATCTGTGGTAGGGAGCTAATATTTACTTAAGGCACAGCCTGTTTGGATGCAGATGTGCACGTCAGGAGACCCTTCTAGGGAGGGAAGGCACTGCATGCAGGTGATTACAGCTGTCTCTGGCTCTGCACGTTTTAGTGGTGACAGAGGGGGCAATGGCAGTGTATTGCAGTGCTGGCCTGTGCTGCTCTAGGCTGGGCCCTGCTGAGCCCAGCTCACAGAAATTCCGTGATGGTGTTAAGATCCATGCAAATCTATTCCTGCAGGTGTTTCTCAATTGCAGCCCTACGTGCTGTGAGGTTTTACTGAAATTTTCTTCTGTTGTAGTACCTAAGTTGAGTCTACTAAGGTGAAGTGTGTAGTCTGCTTTCTAGATCATTTAGGACCTGCGGCAAAATTAACTATATTGGTTTGGTTAATTGTCCACATCCAAGAAACATTGGTAGCTCCCCTGGGTCACTACAGCAATTTCTTTCATGCTGTAAGATGTTTACTTCTCTAGAGTGAAAATGTCTAGGCTGTCATTATGTGACTCTACAGTTCCACACCGATAAAGGCTACCTGTGCCTCTATTTTTTTTTAGCTAGTAAGAAACTGCCAAACTCACTGGAATAGTCCCAGAGTCTTATTTCTCTTCTTTCTTTCTTTCCATTGTTTTTGATTTGATGTTACATGATTGATAACAGCATTTTGTGCCATGGGAATCTTGCTCTCTTTGACTGTGCTGGTTACCTCTGCTTTTTCACAGAAGAAGCCAGCCAAGGTAAGTCTTTCCTTTTGATTCATGCAGGTTGTAAGGTCAGTTCTGGTAGGTATGATTTGCTGATGAATTCGTGCTCCATTTCTCAGCTGGCTGGTTCTGCAAGTAGGCCTGGACAAATACACTGACATTTGAATTTAAGGTGACATTGAGACTTAGGTAAAAAGCATTTGATAATAAATTCAGAAACCTGTACAAAGCAAAAGAAATATTAAGTAGAATAAATAAAAACACTTTGATAATAAGAACATATATGTGTACGTATATATATCTCTATGTTACAGATTACATACTTTATATTATTTCATATATGTCAGCATCAATCTGAGGGTTTCTCTGCTCCAAAGAAAAGGGAAAAGTGAAGCACAAGCAAAGGAAGGTAAAGGGTGTCATGTGGCAAGCAGCATTTCCAATGCATTCATTCCTAATGTGGTAAGAGCCAGCTGACTTAGAGGGTCACTATTGGGTGTCATTTTTGAGGAGCACACAGTGGGTGGGACAGAGCATGGGCAGAACTGAGTACATCGCTCCTCCTCACAGCACCAGCCACCCCAGCTGGGTCATCTTAGCCAGGTGAAGCCTAGTCTGGATTAACTTTCCTACTCCTGAAATTGGGAGAGGCTAGAATTTGAATCCCAGGCTACAGTTGATCTTTCGGCACTTACCAAAACTATGCCTGAAACTGGGAACGGATTCTAGAGGTGGGATCTCTCTGTATCTGGGCTGTTTTTTACAATCTTTGACTCAGCTCTGGAAAATTTTTCTTTGTTTCAGAAAAAGTCAATCCAACAGATGATACAAGGCTAAGGGGCCAAGGCACCACTAGGGACTTCAATTTTGGCTGAATCTTCCAGTTTAGACTTGTACTTCCTATGTGAGTGTATTGAAGCTATTTAATTTATCCATGCCTCCATCCACTCTGAGGTGAAACAATGTGCAATACTGTTTCATTTTACTGCCATTTGTTTGTAAACAGCTCAGAGAGGAAAAAAAATCTGTCTCATTATTTCCTTTGGCAATGTGCTCTCCATTCTTAAAAATTATTTTTGGTCCTCCACAGTGTTAATTAGAAATGATTAATGAACTGATAGCTTTTCAAAAGACAGCAACATTGTGTGCTCCTTGGGACATAAATGTGTCGCAGAGGTAGAAGGAAAATAAGAATATCTATGAGGGAAAGCCCAAACTTTATTTCAGCATTCTCAGTGGTTCTGACCAATACAGATTCTCATAATTCATGTAGGGTACACCAGGAGTGTTGGGCTCACACAAAACACAAACTACAGCTTAATTTCAATGGTGAGAAGGCAGCATCTCATGGATAGAAGTGGCAACTAGCTTTGACTGAGTCCCGGATCAGAGGACATTCAAAACTACATTTGCCACTTCCAAGGAAGGTGTCCTAAATACCATATGGGAGTAAGAGGTATTTTCTGCATGTCATATTGAAGTAATTTTCCTGCAGAAAGGAGACATCTAGAAAATTTACTGAGAGTCAAGGACGGACAGAGAGAAAGGCATGGAAAAATAGGGATGTAACACTAGAGTGGAGAAAAGGGGGATAACAGTGAAATGGGACAGCAGTGCTTACTCTGTTTCTATATTTTGTCTTAAATGCAAAGTGAATAATATGTCCCACTGTTATCACCACCACTGTTAGCTAGACATATTTTTTCCTTTTTCCAGTCATTACAGGAATAAATGGCATTAAATGAATGAATGGCTGGAGACATGAATGAATTCTGAGAAAGAAAATGAGAGGCCATGCTTCAGGAACAGGCTCCAAACAGAATGTCCCTCTTTGCTGCTGATGCATAGTGCCAGAGCAAGAGAAGATTCCATGTTTTTAGTTTGTTGCTACTTTCTAGTCCCCACTACAGAGTCCAGAATCTGGACTCCGAATCCCCTACAGGTTGTGAGAATCTGGCATTTGAAATGTAAATGCTGTTGTGCCTAATTTCTAACCACCAAGATCTATTACAGATCCTTCCCATGGAATTAAATCTTAATTCCTTTACTCTCAGATTCAAGGTAATAGTCTGAGTTTTCTGGAAGATCTCTGATATAAAACTCCCTTGATTTTGCATAGAATACACCACAGATAGAGTTATCTAACTTGCTCAACAACACCTGGCCAAAATTAATTTTTTGGAAGAACAGGTAATTCAATTTCTGTGCAATAATTTGCATGTAAATAGGCATGCAAAATCTTAATTTTATTTCCTCTGAAATCACAGCATTCAGTGTAGATACATTAAGGAATTTCAGTGAAGCATAGATAAGCTCCAGAAATATTGAATCCTTTCGATTACCACATTTGTGCTATCATTTAGCAACTAATTCCATTTTTGGTGATCTTGCCAAGATGTTCAAACTACATTAATTATGTCAAATTCTTTGATTGGTATTTAAACTGTTTTCTCTTTCTTTCAAAAAGGTTGCCACTTTAACTGCCCAAGTGTAAAACACAGTTGCAGAAGGGTTTATGTGTGGTAATGAGACGCACTAATCTTACCTGCTCATTCATGTAGATTCAGATTTGTGTGTCTGAAAATAGTATAATGTATCTGAGATTAGTGTAATGACGTACTCTTGCTTGAATTATGCAGAAGTAGTGCATTAAAATAAATGCATGGAGATTAGTGTCAAAACTTCTTTTCTTTTAGTGGATAATATCTTGAGGGCAGGGGTCTTAGGTTTAAATTAGGGTAATTGCAACTAATTGAATGTAATTTAGAAAGCAACATCTTCTAGAAATGGTGGTCAGGTAATGCGTAGTCCAATACATCTAGCAGACAGATTGTTGACTGCCAAGCAATTAATTTGATGTTTCAGTGTCATTTATCTCTGTTCCCACATAGCAAAGTGAACACGGAACTCCAATGACACACAATGTCAGGAAACAAGTAGGTGCTGGATTTTTTGGTAATATTACCATTCTCTGACTGGCTTCTTGAAGCAATCTTTACTCACAAGGTTCAGTTTTCATTCCTTCTGGAACTCAACCACAGGACCAAATCTCATATCAATAGTATTCAAACGAGTTTCTTACTAAAATTAAAAGGTAGTTTTAAGGATAGAACTTATGTATATTCAGTTGGTGTGGCAAGTCTTTAGTACCAGGGGTGACTTCAGACAGAAGATGCTTAAAGCTTCCTGTGTCTGACAGAGCCAACTCCAGCTGGCTTGAAGACAGACTGGCCAGTGGCCAAGGCCAAGCCTGTCAGTGACATTGGTAATGTCTCACTGCTAAAATACCTAAGAAAGGGGTAAAAAAACCTGCAAAACAACAACTGCAGCTAAAGAAGAGAGGAGTGATTGTATGTGACAAACAACATTGCAGACACCAAGCTCAGTGAAGAAAGAGGGGAGGGCTTCTTCCAGGTGCTGGAGCAGAGATTTCCCCACTGCCTGTGCTGCAGACAATGGTGAGGCAGCTGTGCCCTGCAGTCCATGTACTTCCACAGGGAGTAGGGATTCACCTGCAGCCTCTGGAGAACTCCATGCAGGATCAGATAGATGCCCAATGGAGAAGTCTGCACTGGAGCAGGCTCATGGCAGAACCTGTGGATCCAAGGAGAGAGGAGCCGATGCTGGAGTAAGTGTTCTGGCAGGTCTTGTAATCCTGTGGGGGGCCCACACTGGAAGAGCCTGTTCCTGAAGGACTGCACTCCATGGAAGAGCCCCATGCTGGAGCAGGTTGTAAGGAACTGTGGCAAGGACTCACTTTGGAGAAGCTCATGGAAGACTGTCTTCTGTGAGTGGGATTCCATGCTGGAGCAAGGCAAGGTTGTGAGGAATCCTCTCCTTGAGGAAGATGGAGTGGCAAAGACAACTTGTGATGAGCTGACTTCAGCCCCCATTCCTCAGTCAGGAGTAAAGTTAAGGTTTGCAAAAAGGGAGAAGTAGGGGGAAGGTGGTTTAAGATTTGGTTTTATTTCTCCTTATTCTATTCTAATTTGATTGGTAGTAGGTAAAGGAATTTTTTCCCCAAGTCAAGTCTGTTTTGCCCATGACAGTAACTGGTGAGTGATCCCTCTCTGTCCTTATCTTGACCCATGAACCTTTTTAGTATATTCTCTCTCTTCTTGTCCAGCTAAGGTGGGAAGTGATATAGTGGTTTTGGTGGGCACCCGTTGTCTTGCCAGGGTCACCCCAGCAGGAGCAAATATTCTGTTCAACCAGTTCTCATTAACAATAGCCTTGTTGGAAACTGATCCAGTTTTATTCATTTTATAGCATATCAGTTATTAATCAGATTCATTCAATGATCCATGTTTTTACATGACACGATAAGCACTTGTGCTAACACATGGGAAAATTTGGCAATGAGCAACTAAGGCAAAGGGATAGTGGCACTCCCTTCTGTGGTATTGTTGTCCCTATGTTTGCCCCCCTTGTCTGTAAGCAAAATGACAAGCAGAAGGAGGTCAGTCCCAGCCTAGCCCATGGCTTGATAACAAGGAGGATATTCTTTCTTATGCTGGACATGTCAGATCTCTGCTAGAACAAAAGGTTGAATCTGGGTTTCCTAAGCACACCAGACTCAAGAGGAAGAGAGTATTAAGCAAAGCTGCAGAGAGAGTAGGCAATGACACAGACCTGCTCAATGTGCAGCTATATTTTTCTTTACAGACAATGTTATATGCTGGGATAAATACTTGAAATAGCCACTAAATAGGAGGCTGGCAGCAATCAGTTGTCTTTGTCAAAAAATAACAGCTCTCTGAATTGCAAGGAGGAGGTGAGTTACTTCTTAAAGTATCGGACTTAAGAAAAATCACAGGGAGAAAAGGTGAGATAAAATTACAGAGCCATGAAAATAGCTGCTTAACCACTCATTTCCCTACTTCAAGGTGCAAACTCTACTGCAATAAGTCCATAGTTGAGAAAAACTGGACTGTCTCTGTAAAGTCAGGTACTTATCAAAAGCTCTCTCATAACAGACCCTCTAACAACTCATCAAAGCATAATCAGAGAGAAAGCAGAATAACCCATCACAAATCAGCTGGTTTTATGCTTCCTTTCCTGTCCCATTATTTGTGCCTCTGGATATTTTAAAGACTGATCACGGAGATTTCTGGGAGAGGTGAGAAAGGTGCAACATCAGCAAGCCAGACAAGTGTGCAGTTATGTTTTGGATGAAGAGCAGCAAGATATTGAGATGTACTGAAAACATCCAACTGCATATGGTTCTTCTCTAAACAGAATGTTCTTACTTCTGACATGTAGGAACCAAGAAACAAGATATTTTGCAGAGCAAAAAATATTCCTTTTTCTAGGGCAGAGTCTCTAAAAGATGTCTTGAATGATCTCAGTGAAGATCCAGGATCCCAGGAGATCATTTGCAGCTCTTTAACAAGAAAAAGGTAAGTTGCCTTTGAAGAGTTTACATCACCACCTGAAGGATTGCTGCTTTTTAGAGTTTTTAGTTGCCTTTTTCTCTCTCTTTTTCGTTTGCTTTCCTGGTAGTACATTTAAGAAGCTTCTGTTTGACAATTGGTTCACCAATAATCATGATTTTAAAGAATAGCACCATTTACTCTTATACCAGCCAAATAACATATTATTGAACATTTTTTAGAGAAGTGTTTTATGCTAGTGTTAATTAGGATTCAGCAAACTAAACTACCAGGAACATTGTCCCCGAGCTGAAATACAGATGATCTTCTGTAATACATGTGTAAACTGGTATTAGTGCCAGTGTCATGTAAACACTAGAGCAGGACAAGAAATACTGCAAAGATAAATTAATTAAAGTTGGTGATTTGCTCCAGTGTTACAGTAAAAGGAAAAGCCTTTCTTTGAGTGGCAAGAAAGTTGGGCTGTTGAGTTTGAAAAGATGGGTTAAGAATCATTACCATCTATACAAAACTATCTGGAAGCGTTCCTCTTTTTCTACTCATCTGATTTCTGACACTACCCTAGGTCTAATAATCATGGAAAGTTCTGGTATTCATTTATTTTAGATTTTGGAGCACCATACATTTTCAATTGGTCCTGAAGTGCATGACCTACTTCACTGCAAGATGTTTTACATCTTCTGAACCATTTCATAGGGCAGTCCTTCACACAGTGTGACTGGAAAGAAGACTCATTTACTGAATGTGTTCCTCTCTTTGTTGCTCTTCTGCTAGATTCTGGTAGGAGATTGCATTCCTATATCAGCTGAGGCTTGTCTCAGCTTAGAAGCTTTCATTTCATTGTGACAGCTTCATAAAATCTGGGGTGCTGTGTCCTGTCTCCTCCTGTGTCCTCCTGTGTTGTAGGAACATACTGGGGTCTTGGTGAAAAAAGCAGGGAACACTGCTGTGGTCTTTGGGAGTACAAACCATGGCAGGAGCAGCACAGCAAAGGAGAATGGTTGCAAAGAAAACCTAGACCAGGATCAAGCCTGCCCCACAGCCTCACACTGAGCGAGCCCTGCTCTCCTGCGTGCCCTCCTGCAGCACCACCACCCCCAGGGCAGTCTGGTGAGGGCAGGGGGGCACAGCCCACAGCCCAGGCAAGCTCTGCAGTGGGGCACACTGAAGAGCAGGGCTGCAGGATTGCCCCAGAAGGGACAGCTGGCCCTGCTAGTGAGCCCAGGGCCAAGGTCCCCCTGATGTCAGATTGGAAGGAGATTCTGGTATTAGGCAGCCCAGGGTGGGGGATACATACCAGGGCTAGAAGACATTAGTTTTACTGGTCCACACAAAAATTAGCTTTTCTCAATCCAAGTTAGTGCATACCAGCTGTCTCATTAACATTAAATAGATAACATGATGGGGAAAAAGTCAGAGGAAAACCTACCTGAAGTTGAAAGTGTTTTGTCTAGTTTTCTTTTTAAATGGAGACCTGCTGGAATCCAGAAATGACATTAAGCTTCCTTTTAGAAAAGGTAATTGAAAAGAAAAAGGCAATCAAGGGATGAACAAATGAAGCCTTTTCTTACTGCTGTATGAATAAAAAATGTTATTAATAAGCCCTTTCATTTCAGGCTTACACTCCACAGTCACACATTTTGAATGTATAACCACACAAATGCAAATGTTTACCTCTTAAGTCCTTCACACCACTACAGATGTTTTTGAAAATAGAGAAAGGGAGTCAAGAAGGCATGGACAGAGAGTGACAGAGGACAGTGGGAATAGAGATTTAATCAAAAACCCTTTAAAAAGTACTCTTTTGTTTTTCAGTTTTCAGTATTTATATTGCATAACCAATTATTTTATAAGAATAGCTGGTCTCATTTTGTTGTTTTAATTTTTTAAATTGTATTTCAATATACATTTGTGGGTGATTAAAAAGAAAATCTAAATTTCAGCAGTGAGAGCAGCACCTATATGTTTTGGTTCACGTCCAGCTGTTAAGACCCAGAAAAGCTAGAAACAGCAGCAGACTGGCAAAATAAGGGTAAGAAGCAAAGATAAATCAATATTGTGCATTATACAGTTTCACCCTACAGAGCCTTTCTTTCTTTACACTTCTGTGAGGAAAACAGGATTTTCCTGTATAATTTTTGGGTTTATATCTAAGCCTGAGTTTTTGTAAGATTATTCTATGTCTTTAAGGACATGCTGGCTATCCATTTTGGATAGTCACAGTGCAATGAGAATATAGCAAGTGTTCAGGGGTGGCAAATGATGGTTTCTGGAGCAGTCTTCTGAAAAAATATTGAACAAAACTGATTTTGTCTCTTTGGTACCCTCAACATGGTTAAAAGGAGGTGTTTGAGTGTGCATGTCATTGACTGATGCTGAAACTAAGACTGATTTAAGAGGGCTCCCTCAGACCCCTGATGGTCATAGCAAAGAAAAGCAAGCTTTATAAATCTAATTGGCTATACAGTACAATGAGTTTATCCCTATTGTTAATTGTATTAACCTACAAAAGGAGTCAAGGATTAATTAGAAATAAAGACCAGGAGATAAACTGAAGATTCTCAAGGGAGGCACTGATACACATTATCCTTGAACTGTATAATTATTGAAATCCGTACTATTTTAGAGTGCTGTGCTCACCTGAATGTAACCCTAATTGCCTCCTTTATTCTTAGCTCCATGTTTTTGTACAGGTTGCTAATCATATTTCAAACCAGAACCACCCGCTGAAGACCTGCAGAAACAAAAGTGGAAGGATTCTTAATGTCCTAATTTGAGAGGAGGTTATAGCACAATATTATTAAGATCAAACTACCTCATGCTTGAAATCAAGAACAAACCAATCTTCTTTGACAAAAAGGTAGGAATCTTTCCCTCAGCTTGTACTCAGATTTTCCCTTAGGTTAAGCTTTAGTCAAAAGAGAAGTGGTGCCTGATTAAAAGGTGGGATAAATGAACTCAAGTGCTTTCTGAAGGGAAAAACACACCTCAGAGCTCTCATTTTGATGAGTGACTGTAATACTATACAATGTTGGGCTTGTCCTTAGCACTGATCTATCCTAGTCCAGAGCACTACCTAGCACCTGTGAAAGGCCACAATAAACCCCAGCTGGGTATAATGGGAAGGTACCAGGGACTGTTTCACTGGAAAGATCTGCTTTCCACCCCTGTCACTTCCCGAGGGCTTTCAAAAGCTTTCCTCCCAGTCTGTGGCTGCCTTTTTGTACCACTGTATATCTAAGTGGCATCCTTACAAAGTGATCGTGCTCCCTTTTAAAAAAGATGTGTTAAACATAAAAGTAAGAAATTCTGAAATACATATTGATAAGCTTAAAAAAAAAAGGCAGCAAAGTACCTTGCAGGCAGTCTTAAAAAAAGGTGGTAGAATACGCCTTTAGATCTGTTTCTTTCATCCAAGCTCCCATTGCAATGACTGAGAAACCTTGCTCATTCATGTCAATGCTAATATGTGACTGTTGTGTTTGAATATAAAACAACTAGTATTCTTTCTGAGATTTTTTTTTTAAGCCAACAAGAATATGATGTATTTTACTACTTCTGAGAAGAACTATTGGTACTATACAGCAAAATTAAATTTTGATATTATGCTGAACTAAATCAAGTAATATTCCTGCGTCCTCCCTGTATTTAAGCCTAAATATACATTGGGAATTCTGGATATTTGGGGTCCTGATCCAACACTAACTCAGCATCAATATTGTGCTTGATTACAGGGGAAACTCTTGCAGCCCAGCAGTGATGAATCTTGATGTTCTCAGCTGTTAAACAGACCTGAGCATTGCCCCAGAGTGAAAGAGTCCCAGTAACCACTGCTTTTGCAGCAGCAGCTGTGAGCCTGCCCACTACTTGATATGTAATGCATTTGTCATACAGCCTGGGTTGAAAGAAGTCAAACAGAGTAAAAGTCTATTATCTAAAGCTTCAGTCAGAAGGGAGGTACCTACTTAACTTCTCTCCTGATGCTGATGTGAACACAGCATGTACTGCTCGTAGGTGGTGACTGATAAGAGGATCTGTGGTGGGGCTCCTTACCTGAGGTGAGGTTTTTATTGTAACACTAGGTAAGCAAACATTATTAGTGGGGTGGATTTGAAATTGCAGTGCTTGAAGCTGTCCTAGAAAAATATATTAAAGCAAAGGAATTGGGGAGGGAGGGACAGACAAGGAGAATGGATTTTAGCCCATTCTTTTAGAGGGATCAAAAAAAGCCCTTCTCTCCTGAAGCAGAACAACCGTCTCTGAGTAATCCATGGGCTCTTTTAGGCCATTGGCTTCAGCTGTTTGGAAAACAGTGTCTTACTATGACTATGTATTAGTCAGGTGGCAAGAAGGACAATCAGCTGGCAGGAATTATGATCCACATTTTTTGCTGTAATTATATAGACAGGTACCATCTCTGAATTTTTTTCCTACTTTGTCTCTTTGTACTCATAGAATGATTCGGGGCAGATGAAATGTCACAGTGCACATGACTGAAATGTGTGAAAACTTAATTACCAGAATAATTACACAGTAGATGTGAGATCTTGCCTCTGTGAAAATCTGGCAGGAAGCTTGGGCCCTATGGAATATGAGTCCACATATGTACTCAGTGGAAAAGCCATTAGTCGCAAAGTGGCTGCATCTGCTGGAAAGAGTTAATCAGGCCCCTCACTTCAAAGAACACGGTATGCCTTAAAATACCCTTCTCCAGGCTTCTCAGTCATGCTGCAAATGAATATGTGATTTTCTCCCAGCTACCAGGGTAAATCTGCATAGCTCAATTAATTGCAGTTGATTTATGCCAGTTACACCAACAGAGGATCTGGACAGAACATAATAGCATCTCTATATCTAATAGTCCAGCACAGCATATAAAAATTGGGCATTATTCTGCATCAGCTATCCCTTTGCAGTCAGGATGAATAGCAGAAGGATTTGTGATTTATTAAATGAACTCCTTCTCTACAAAGTTGAATCTATGCTGCTTCCCATGAGTTTCTACACTGGCAGGCCATGAGTTTCTTCTGCATATCATACATTTTCAGCAAAAAATATTAAGATAATCAAACAGTCAGTGTAATTTTCTTGATATCTGGTTAGAGACACATTGCCTAATCATTTTACTCTTATCAATCAAAATTTGCATCATGCCAGAAATTGAACACTTTCCTTTTTATTTTTTAGCCTCCTAAATTATTTTTATTTTTGCCTGTTATCAGATTGAACTCCTAATAATTAATTTGAAAATAAATGACTACAAATATTAGTTGCAGTTAATTTTTTAAGCAGACTGTGAGTATAAATCTAGAAGTTTTTAGTATTCCTCTTTCGTGTTATTATACATATAGGGCAATATTTAGGCCACTGAGTTGAAGCAAATCCTGAAGTGTGATTATCTTCTCATTGAAATGCTCTCTATTGTGCCTATTTGTTTGATGTGTTTTTCTTGTATGTTGTATTTCTGATGGCTTTGGGGTAAAAGAATCATTATATGTCACCCATACTATCTCTTTTAATCTCCAGAAGATTAAGCATGTTTATTTTAAAACTCCTTTGATAGTGTCTTTACTAACTCAGCTATTTTGTAAAATTGGAAATAATGAATCAGGGAGATGCAATTTTGATAATACCATTTACACAAGTCCTATGAGGCTAGCTAGGAAAATAACTGGGGTAAGTAAGTATCTGACATACACAGAGTGAGAATGGGAAAAATATTGTAATTTCATGTAGGTTATGAGGCACTGGAAAAATACAGTCAGCAGAAGCAGTTCAGTTAATTAATCACATTCTTCAGGGACTGCTGGACTCAGGAGATGGGTCATGGGATCAGGAATGGCTCCTTTAATCTCTTTGTCACTGGTTCAGATCCAATCTCTGGGTCACTGGTTCAAATCCAGTATGGATAGATAATAATTAGAAGTCACTGTTATTTGAGGGCTCTGGGATGAACCTTTCGAAATGGAACTGGTGAGGGGACACTGCAAAACAAACCACCCCAAAGCTAGAATATCTGGAAAAATCACAAGCTTCATTGCCAGTAGACAAACTTCAGAGACTTAGTGGAGCTGGGTGTGGGCTGCTTGTGGTCGTTGACATGAAACTGATACACGTCCATCGCTCAAGGGACACACTTGTGAGCTTGTGAAAGAGAGGGGGCAGAGACAATCACTGGTGGTGCTTCCTGAGCAAAGGTTACACACTGCTGGGAAGTCGACACCTGCAATCACAGCTCTCGCCTGGTGCTCCATGGAACAACATTCCTCCTCACTCATCTTGAGGAGGTTGTTCAAGTCCCGGTCTCTGGGAGCCTCTAATGCCCAGCTACCCTCCACAAGCTGGTAACGACAGGGCATGCTTTATCCTGTGGGATTCCTGAGTGTCAGGATTGACAGCATGCAGTGGTGTGAGGACTAATGTTGTTGTCCATCACCAGTCTGGAGTTTCAGACTACAAGAGGGAGCTGGGAGGTCCCAGTGCCCCTGTGTTTTGCAGCGTTTAAGTTATCCCAAAGGAGAGGTGCAGAGCAGGCCATGTGAGTGGAAAGGCACATAGAGGACATCAATGCCAGTCAGCACTTTGGCAGGCTACAAGAAGAGGTGTTTTAGAAATAAAATCTGTAAGGTTGAAATATATTCAGAGTGGACAGGTGAACTGCTTACACCTGACATGAAGGGATTCAAGTTTATACTTCTTTTTTCCCCAATCAATGCAAAATCAGAGTAAAGGGACTTAGGAGTCAACCATGGGATCATACTCCCATAAAACACTTCTTGGCAGGAGCCATGTTAGCTGGCACAGGACTATGTTTTTTAAATATATGTACCCTTGTTTTCTGAAACTTTTTATGCCTTTATTCTGTAAATCCAAATTCTCTGGAATTTGTATAAGACTGTGGAAGGAACTTTTGTTTTTGTGAAGTACGGGGCTCTGTAGCAACCAAATCAAAGACTGGAGAGATTAATCAATTTCAGCCGTCTGAAACTGTGATTTGGCATACAGTGAGAACAGCTGAGACAGTGGGGGAAATTTCACACAGATTCTGTCCTGCTAGCTGTTAAAGCAATTCCATTTGCACTCTGCATTTCGCTATTTCCTAGAAAATAAACTCACCAAACTACCTAGATTAGCTGGTCTTGAAAAACTGAGGTTACTTTTAAGGCAAGAGATATTCTTATTCCCTAAGGAAAAAAAAAAGGAAGAAAAACAACTCAGAAGACCAGAAAAACAGGAGCTGGGTATACTGTTAATTAAATACGCCAGTCTATGCCTTGGCCCAAATGTGAATTTCCTATCCTCATAGCAGAGGGAAAAAACCCTGGCTCATATTCAGATATTCCAATAAGCAAGACATATCTCACCAGGCTCTGGGAATGCTTTCCACAATGACCTGCATAATTAAAGTCTGCATTGCCTTCTTGGCCCAAGAGAAGTTAATGGCAAAGCAGCTGCTAGCATCCATTAAGTGTATTTAAGTCCTGTTTATAGGGAAAGACCAAGGTGCCCTTTTGGGCTCTGGGAAGTAAGATATAAATACATGCTAGCCATTATCAACATGCATACTTGTAACAAACTGCCTTCAGGGACTGAAAGCTGTAGTCACATATTTCAGGTGTCACTGATAACTATATGTGCAAAAAGAGCAACCCATCACAGAAAATGTACTCTAGGGGTATGTTTTTGCATTTGAATATGAAATGAGGCCTTCACTTAATGGCTAGGTTTCTTGGACCTTTCAGTCATGTTGCGTGAAACATCAAAACAGAGAAATTATCAATTAGTTTCATGTCAGTGAATATATATGAATGTTTTGGAAATAAAGCATTTTATGTTCTTATTTCTCTTAGAAATTTTAGCTTTTTCCTGCTCTAAAAAAAGATTCCCTCTATGTCAAATCTCAGTTTTTACTAAGTCTTCCTTGTCAAGGCAATCCTTGCTTTCAGAAAAATTAACAGGCACCAGTGACAGACCTTCATGACATTTTTTTTTTATTTGTACCTAGGCTGAGTTTTGAAAATCTATGAGTAGGGAAAAAAGGGAAGGAAGGAGGCAAGCAAGCAGAAAGAGAAGAAGGAGAGAAAGAAAGAAAGAGAGAAAGAAAGAGAGAAAGAAAGAAAGAAAGAAAGAGAGAGAGAGAGAAAGAGAAAAAGAGAGAGAGAGAAAGAGAGAGAGAGAGAGAGAAAGAAAGAAAGAAAGAAAGAAAGAAAGAAAGAAAGAAAGAAAGAGAGAGAGAATTGGGAAAAATGGGACATTATATGCATTTCATTTTTGTAATGCATTTAGGGATGGAAATAAAAAAAGTGTAAAGAAAACAGGAGAAACTGTTCCATAAGCTGTTGATATAGTGTGTTGGTTTTCCTATGGATTTGAATTTGTGGTTGTTTAGTGCTCTGATGGAAAATCCCTAAGTACTGGAACATTTTTAAAAAGTGTTTATTTCTTGCATGAAGTCTTTGATGTTTAAATGGGTGAATGTACATTGCTGTCTCTTCTCCACAGAGCTACTGACAGGGTCTCACTCTTTCTGCTCAGCCTTCCAAAGTTTGTTCTGAAGATAGCCAAGAAATATGCAGAGCCTTCATTATTTCTGAGGATTCTGTATCTTTCACTTAACTCAGGCAAGAGATACAAATTTGAGCAAAGGAAAGCACAAATTGATATGCAAGCAGAACTCATGATTCTTTAAATCAAGAGTTTTCATTATTTTTTTTTTCATTGATGGCACTCAGTATTTCAGTTTTGCTTCAGATTTCTTGTAAAATTGAGCCAAAATATAAATGAATCCTATGTACTGATGATTTTTTTTCTCCCTTCTTTCTGTCGTAAAGTTATATCTGCTCTTTTTTAAGAAACAGAGAGTCAAAGAAATGTCCCTCCCTCCTCTGGCCCCAAAGCAGATCATTTGTTTGGCCTGTCCTGAGCTGACCTGGCACACAATGGGCTGCTGAGGAGCCTCAGTTCAGAGCTCCCACTGGCACCAGTGAGAGGCTCCTCCATGGCTTTTGCTGCAGAGATCAGGATGACTCTTGGACTGGGACTGTCAGTACAGATGGGAATGAACCCTTTACTACCAGATGGCAAATAACATTGACTGATATACAGCAAATATCTTTTGCTTTTGCCTGTCACTGGGGAAAACTTAGTTCGCCATTAATTCAACAATTCCTTGTAAGCCATTTTTTTCAGGAATGTTTTTTTTCTGTGGTGTAGGCAAAACAAATATTCCCTCTGGGATGAATCCCTGTTCCTGCCTCTTTACAAGTAAATGCTCTCCTCACTCTCTCCCAGAACGGTTGTTCTGACAAGACTGCTGAAAGCAGTGGGCTTCCCATGACAGATGTTCCACAAGAAAGCCAAAGCAAAGAGCTACTTGATTTACTGGTGCTATCATACTTTATAAGTAGCAAATTGTTACAGAGACAAGATGATAAAGAGGTGTATCTAAGACATAGCAGACAGTCAACTTTAAAGGTCTTCTGTCTTGCAGAAGATCCAGGAGGGCCTGGCATCTGCTTCAATCTCTACAGCAAAGACCTTTGTATGGATACAGATGTCAAGCAAGGGATCTTTGATGGTAGCTGAAGGCAATACATCTGTCTGCTGCCTTTTGCTAATTTTCTTTTTAGGTCAAACTCAGAATGCAGCAGCCTGGCTTGCCCAACACACTTGGTACAAAAGTTTCCTCTGCTGAGCTTTCTGCCAAGAGTGGACAGGAGATGGACCTTCCCCAGAGGGATTGCAAGTAGCCTGGTGGGCAGAGAGTGCTGCCTCTGCTGGGCTGGTATGGGCTCTTTTGGGGTGGCTTTCTACAGCAGCAGAGATGGTGGTGATAGGCAGCCTTGTGTTCTTTGCTCCAGAAGCTGTGGCTTGTCCTACTTCCTGGCACTTTAGCTGCCCTCAGTTTGACAAAGGCTGCTAATTTTCATTTCCCAGTTATACCAAGGAATAATATTATCTAGGAAAGCAAATAAGACTCTTAAGTGTTTCACTATAACATCTTTTCCCTCAAATATGGGCAAAACCATCTAAATACAATGAGGATTTTATATAAATACATTAATATAGGTATGGATAAATAAAGAAATACATATTTAGTACATATATAGAAAATCACTTCAGCGCAGGCCTCTTCCACTTAGATCATGAGTTCCTGACACGTGAGAGGAAGAAGCAGGCATTACGTGGGGCCATGAAACACAAACAGCCCTCTTAGCATGAGCACTTCCTTGCAAAGAGGAGATGACTGTGGTGAGCTCTCATTGCTCTGCTCTCCTGGACTCCAGTGCCCCATGGGTGACAGGCTTCCATCAAGGTCACTGCAGTGGGCACATCTGTGCTTCTGCTTTCCAAGGTTTGGAAAGCAGGCATGGGCCATGATATCCAGAGCTGTGGTCAACAGCTCATCGCCCGCATGGAGACCAGTGACAAGTGGTGTGCCTTTGGTCAGGACTGGAGCCAGAAATGTTCAACATATTTGTTGGTGACATGGACAGTGGGATCAAGTGTGTCCTCAGCAAGTTTGCTGAAGACATCACGCTCTGCGGTGCAGTCGCCACACTGGAGACAAGGGATGACATCCAGAGGGACCTGGACATGCTGCTTCAGAGATGGGCTCATGAAAACCTCATGAAGTTCAACACAGAGACATGCAGGTTCCTACCTGATGTCCCTGGTGTAATCACAGACACATCTACAGGTGGGCAGAGACGGGACTGAGAGCAACCCTAAAGAGAAAGGCTTGGTGATGGTTGATGAAAAATTCAATATGAGCCAGCAGTGGGCTCACAGCCCAGAAAGCCAACCACATCCTGAGCTGCATCAAAAGCAGTATGGCCAGAAGGAGATGATTCTGTTCCTCTGCTCTTCTCTTGTGAGACCCCACCTGGAGTAATGCACACAGTTCTGGTGCCACCAACATAAGGAAATGGAGCAAATCCAGAGGAGGGCCATAAAGTTGATAAGAGGACTGGAGCATGTCAAACGACAGGTTGGGAAAGAATCAACAAAATATTCTTAATTAAAAGGGACCCACATGGACCTTTGAGTCAAACTCTAAAGTGCATTACTTGAATAGGATTTAAATAGGGTTTAAACCCAAAACTTTGACACTACTAGTGTCATGCTCTATCCAACTGAGCAAATCTCAGGGTTGGGGCTGTTCAGCCTGGAGGAGGTTTGGGGGAGACCTTATAGCAGCCTTCTAGTGTCTGAAGGGGGCCTACAGGGGAGCCAAAGAGGGGCTCTTCCTCAGGAATTCTGGTGAAAGGACAAGGAATAATGGGTACAAGCTGAAAGGGGGGAAATTTAGCTTAGATATTAGGAAAAAATTATTTACTGTGAAGATGGTTAGACACTGGAACAGGTTGCCCAGGGAGGTTGTGGATGCAGTGGTCACAGCCAGATTGGATGGGGGCCTGGAGCAGCCTGGTCTAGGGAGGTGCCCTGCCTATGGAAGGGGGATTGAGACTGGGTAATCCCTAAAGGCCATTCTAACCCCTTAATATTCTGTGTTTCTGTGATCCAGCACAGCCAGCGAACAGCCAAATCAAGCCCAAGGTCACCATAGAAGGGAGAGAAGATTCAGATCCACAAAGTAAGTAGCCTTTGATGCTCTGGGTATGTCAGGTTAACCTTCAAATGTTAATTCACTAATTAACTAATTGATATTTCTAAAAAAACCAACATCCAAGTGTATTATGGTGTGCCAAATAAATGTATCACAGTAGTGCCTCTAGCTATTGCAGCAGTAGATGAATTCCAATTGTCCATTAAACATATTGTTTTACATAAATCAGAGTATTTTGCACAAGTTGAATTTCTTTACTTTTTATGGAGAAAATTCAAAATACAGTGCTGAGACATTTAATTTTGATGGGTTGTTTAAAGTATTGTAAACAATTCTTATCTATTATCTGTGTATAATATAAGGTATACTAAAGATGTACCAATACAACACTGAATGTCATAAAAACCAAAATGAAATGGTTCAGAGGAAAATAGTTTAAAATGATCCTTTACTGACTTCACTGGTTTAAGGGACTTATTTAGGATGCTGCTGAAACAATCCTTGGCAAAGTCATTAGATAGCTCCAGGAATTTGTGCGGGCTATAGACTCAGTTTTGGGCTGCTGGTTCAAGTGCAGAGGGCCTGCATGGGTACAAGGAAATGTTGATAGCATGACCTTGGCCATGTGGTAAGAGTTTACCTCCCTGGGTGTAGGTGACAGTAACAGAAATAGCAGTAATTAGTCCACCTCAGTATCTCAGCTAAGGTCTGACATGGCAAAGCAGAGAAGCCTATTGTGCTTCAGACTGAGCTGGGATTTCTCCGTGGAAAAAATATAGCTTCCCTATTCCAGGTCCAATGCAGGTTTTATTAGCACTGTTGGTGTGATGCCAAAGGAAAAGCTAGCAAGAATAAGAAGAAAGCATCAGACTAGATAATTGGTTAGAGATGGTACCCTGGGAAGACAGGGACAAAAGGCAATGAGCTGTAGCCAGCCACACAATCCAAAGTAACAAGCAGTCAGCACTGGATTAGCAACCAAGGCAACATTAATAATTTAACTACAGCATTCACAATGATTTAACCATGCTATTCAGAGCACAAAGCTAATGGTGATATAGTGAATGAAGCTAGAAGGTGGTGATATTTAAAAAGTTTGTAAGTGTCAGCACATAAAAGAATCTCTATTGGAAAAGGCAGTGTTCAAATTTTGCTTTCTTGTTTTCTGAAAAACACAAAAGGCAAGCATTTACATTTTGGTAGTTGCTGTTTAGTATTTTCCAGCCATGAAGGGGTGGGCTGTTTCAGAAGTTCCTATTGACAGCCAACTTACAGAGTGTGATAGACCAACACATTTTGCTGTCTTTGAATACTGAATAACAAATGTTTTTGCTATTTACAAGTCAGAAGTGAAGGAGCTACAGAGCACCCACCCAAAATATACAAATCTCTCTCAGCATGCCCCACCTGCAAATTCTGCCTTCATTTAAGTCAACATTATGTTATAGCTCATCCTAACTCATGGAGGGCTGTAAAAAGAAGTATAAAGTGAGAGCATAGGAATGTGATAGCTCAGAATAGGCTCTCAGAATTTATCACTTGCCTACACAGAGAGTTCTGCCACTCTACTGCTGTGATTAAAATGGTAGAACCCTTCTCTAAGGATTACACCCTCTACTTTATCACAGAAGATATTTGCCTGAATTAAACCCACAGCTGTCCCATGTGTCATTCTCTCACTCTGTGAAGTTAAATGCTTTTCTAGAAGTGAACATGTAAAATGGCTGCTGTTTTTACACCTGGCATGCATTGTGTATGTATTCATAGGCAGAGCTTTTACTGTGGTGACAAAAAAAATGGATTTTTATAATACTTTACTCGCACTAGTGTTGTGGAGTCCATACAGTCAGGACAAAATGAATTAGATTCGATTGTGCTTCACATAGCCTGATTGAAGCACTACTGCAAATTCCAACTGCAGCAACAAATTTTGCTAATTACATTGTGCAAACTAGCTACAGAGCCTGGGCTGAAGGAAAATTTAAACTCCCAAGGAAAACACATTGTTATATTACATACTGCAGGCTGCTCTCAACTTCAAGTTGCAGTGGCCCACCAAATAGCACAGTCTCGGAGCTCTGTGAATTCCCTCTGAGCTGGAAACTATGCAGATCTGAAGTGCTCACTAGGTGCTGGGGATATTTTGGTTAGCTCTGGGCTAGTTCTAAGTGCACATTACAGGAAATGGTTTCTGCTCCTATTGTCAGCATTTCTCTGGAAGAACTGTATTTAAGGAGTTTAGTTGAGGCATTGGGGTAGCAGTGAGGTTACAACTGTAATATTTAGGATTTGCTCACTTTATGTGCAAAAGCTATGTCAGGCTAGATTTCCTTCTGTGGCAGGCAAATGAGAATGGATCCAGAGAGGCTGGATCCTAAGGTCATTCCTACATCTCTAAAAACATTGTAACTGCTCTTGCTAAATTTGTAATGGTCATACCCAGCAGAAGGGTAGCCCCAGCTGCTCTGAATCTTATAGATAAAAAAAGTTAGTCCTGTAGAGATGCTAAAAGCAAGGCTAGATTTGTCTTTGTTTGACAAAAATGTAGTATGAGCAGTACCACTCCACTTTTTGGCTCAAAGCTTCATCTACATAACAATGAGGTGCTGTCATTAGTAATACCACTCCAGGGCATATTTTCTGAGTTAACAAAAATATTAGACATGCTATTAATACCACCCATTTCACACGTTGATGTGACAAATGATTATTTGTACTGCTTACCTTCTATGTAATTTATATTATATCCCAGTGTTTAGATAAGTGAAGCCTCTAAGCATTCCTGCCTTGAGCCCATACACTTGTGCATGGGGTCTGTAGATCAAATCCAAAGAAAAGCTGAATAATCATATTCCTAGCAAGAACAAATGTCTGGCTGAGCCCATGGTTCAAGGTATGAAATTTGGTCCATGAGCATAGAGTGGGCTTTGTGCAACCTGTACTCAAGGAGCATCCTTGCCAGGCAATGTGTGTGCTCCCTTCCACAGCTAGCTGAGTGTCTGGCCCCCAGCAGACTGAACGGATTCCTGCCTCCCCTCCACTGCTGAGCCTCTACTAGAGAGTGAAAATGTTGAAAATTTAATTTATTTCAATTTCTTTACCTGAAAAGAAAAGATAGCTACAGAACAAGTGGTTGTGGTTGGATTATATTCTATCTCCTTAATCTCCTATGTGTCTATAGCAGGTCTGCAGCAGTAACACACTAACACACTCTGGTAAATCAGATTTTACTCTTCTGCTCTGTGCTTGGATGATTTTTCCTACTCATTCCTGTTTGTTCTGCCCTCTTCTCTGAGTGCTTATCTTTGAGGAGCAGAAACCAGTCTTGGCTTGCTACTGAGAAAAACACATGCAAAGAGGTGCCTTTTACATCTCCCTCTGAGGACCTCATGTCACAGCCAGCAGAGGAATTGGCATTAAATTGCCATATTCTGAAATATGGCATGAAAATCTTGAGGTGTGAGCTCCCTGCAGCCTCAGTAAGTGTTGATAGGCAAAGATTTGCAATAGAAGAACTCACTGAGGAAAGCTCTGCAGAGCTGATGTTGGCAGGTGACTAGGAAGCCCTAATCCCCTTGGATCAGGAAACAGCCATGTACTGAAAGGATCAGCCTTTGGTTTATAGAGAAAATTATGATTCTTGCTGAAATTCCTTGATTGTTTCTGACAAACTAGATTCATCAAAAAGACTTGTTTTTACAGGTCATTCTTATTTCTGAAGATTATCTTCTGAAAACAAGAGCCTTTTTTGCTGACCTTTTGATACATGTGTTTTTGTTATGCACATCCTTTCCCACTTGATTGAGTAGTGTTTTAGAATTTCAGACCTCTAGATTTTAAATGTACCACAATAAATCCACCTTGGGATGAATCTCCATGATAGAAGCCATACTGCTTTCAATGATTGCATTGAACATAGTTTAAAAATATATTTACTGATTTTGCAAGATTTTAATGAGCTTTGGAAAGTTATTTAACATCCTTTGAAGAAACCTCGTATAAAAAGAAAATGTTACTTATATAAAACACATAATTCTGTATAGCAAGAGCCATTTACTGTGCTCAAAGCAGATTTAGGACTCAACAGTATGCTGAGAAAGTTAAACTGCCTATTAGCCAGTGCCAGCTGCACCAGAGGCTGTTTTCAGATATATTTAATGGGCAGGGATCCAGTATTACTGTCATATCTACTTCCATCCTTTGCCTGTCCCTGCTGTATGTAGTGATATTTTCGTATTGCATAAAGTCTATTTAGTAGTGAAGAGCACTCTCTTGAGCTACTGAATAGCTCAAGACTCAGGCAATGCAAACGAAGAAACACAAGCACCCCCCTTTCAAAAAAAAAACCAAAAAAAACAAACAACTTTCCCCACATAAAGAAAAATAAGTCCATCAATTTAAAGCATCTGTTCTGAAGGGGTTACTCCTGCTGGTCTCCTTTTATTTTTTTCCTTAGTTTTTAATTACTTTTCTCTTAACAGATCCACATGACAAGATATCTCTCTTCCCAGCCCAGGGGGAATGACTGAAGCTCCTGTTTGACTATTCCAGTGCTTTTCTGACAGCTGTACTGCTAGCTTTGCCTTCTTATCTTTGTTGTTGTTGTTTTTTCCTTAGCTCTTGGGATTGGCTAATAGAAGATCTCTGCTGTGAAGCCCATCTTCAACATGGCAGGGTCATTGTTTCCCTCTGGCAAAGGAGATTTTGTTTGCAACAGGTGAGGTTGAGTTGGTGCAAACTGCAAGCTCTGTGTAGTAGTAACTCCACCAGCTTGGAGGGTCTTTATCAGAGAACATCACTCAGTGATTCATACAAAAGAGGACAAGAAGCTGATCTCTGGACAGGAAGCACAGAAAACTTCTGAGCTCGTGCCAGACCTCAGTGAAGTCTAAGGGAGAGCCCAAGAGTTCCATCATTGTTCTGTCATTGTCCTCTCCTGTTAGCACATGGAGCACAATCAGACAGCAGTCCTACCAAGAGCCTCTAGGGGCTACTGCAGTTTAATAAATCACAATATATAAAATGCAAACCAGTTTTTAGTCTGATATGGGCTGTGTTAATCTCTGGTGTGCTATCTTGGACTTCAGAAGAGTTACAAGCAATGGAATATTGCCCACTGAACCTTTGCTGACTGTTCTCACATTGCCAGGAAGGATAAAGGATAAAGTGAGTAGAGAATATTCTCTTAGGACACATTGTTTTGTCTTGTTTTCCTGGGGGAGGAATTAGTCTTTCTGTTCTCTTTCTTTCTTTGTTCCCTGCTTTCTGATAATATTATAAAAGTAACATGTTTAGCTTATGCTGGGTTCTGCAGAGAACACACCAACTTTGTGTACATCACAGATTTTTCACTCTTTGCTAGTGCTTTAATGATATTTGTTTTTATTTGAGTTAAAAAGAATCAATGTTTTACTAATTTTCTCTTTAAAGATACCCTGCACCCTTGATAATTCTCTCCCACCACATGGGGTTTAGTTTACTATGAAATGTTTCATGCACCATACGAGGCATAGCAAGAAAATGTGCATGTGAGAGAAGGAGCAGTCTTCAGAGCAGCATATTTAAGAAACTCAGAATTTAGGAGGAAATCTCTACAGGATATCAAAGCAAATTTCACTCCAAGAAGGTTTCAGTTTGTCAATAGATGTAGCACAAAGGCTTCCTGTTGTTTCACAAACAATGAATCTTCTCCAGCCTATAAATAATGTAAAGGCAAGTCTCAAGATTTTTAAAAAATTCTGCTAGCTTGAGGCTACCTACCCAGCATGCCTCCTTGTTTACAACTTCCCACTACAAATGTATATTGTGTTTGTTTTTAGGCAAACATCAGCTTTCCCTAGTCCTGCAATTAACCTCCAGTACGTATTAGCAGCAGCCTTTTAAGCAGTTTTTACACCTAGTGATACTGGGCAGCATTATCATGGAGTGGTTGGCTCTATACTATGGAGAAGTGATCTGTGTGGTAGGAAATGTGAGGTGCATCCCCTTCACCTACAGTGCCAATGAGTTACTGCCATCAGCTGCCAATCCTTGGGAAGCACCTGCTCTTCAGGTAAACTTCCTTGGAGCCATTTATAAAGGTAAAATGAAACAGTGGATTGAGTAAAGGTGCTGCTACACCTTACGTAAGTCTCGGGGATATAAATGGGATCTGCACAAAGGAATGGATTTGTAAAGTTCAATTTTTTGTCCAAAGGTTTTCTTTTGTGTGAGAGGGCCTGAACTTCCAACATCTCCAAGAGCGCAGGTGAGTGCCCTTACTCCTTCTGATTTTGTTAGTCTCTCACTTTGCATTTTTCTGTGCAGGTACAGTAAGCCCAGGGGAAAGACCTTGTGCTTAGGCTAGATGTCCTGCCAAGGTTAGGGTCCCTTGCACAGCATGGAGGGATGTGCTTGGTCTCTTGCAGGATGCCGAGGGCACAGACCCTGTGCATGGCCCTTCCTAACCAGCAGTGTCTCGTAGGAAATAGAGGTGCTTGTCTGGTTTGTTTGGTGTCTGATCCTGTCCCTGTGGACGAGCTGTACTCTATAACAAGTGTTTGTTCACATGGTTTTCAGAATCTCATTAAATTGTAGATGCTCAGAAAGAGGTTTTGTGTGCAGTCAGGAATACTGGGCATGTGTAGAGCTTACGGAAAGGAAAACAAAAGTCAAGACACTGATGGAAATGTGGGCAGCCAAGGAGATTTGGATAGCAAGTCTGGAGTGAAGCAGTTAAAGTCCACTTTCTTTCAAATTCATCCACATTCACACTTTACTGGGATGATCCTGAAACACATTGTTCAAAAAATCAAATCTGGATCAAGGACAATTTAGTCCTTACCTCCACATTTTACATGAAAATTTTTGAGTGATGAAAGGCTTCTGTCTGGGATTGGAGTCTTGACTAACTCTAAGCATCCTCACAGTTTCCTCTCTGTTCTTATCCACTCTGTTTTCCCTGGAGACTTTTTACACTTGAAATGGAGTTTTTAAAAGTGAATGGAATTTATTTAAAAGCACACTTGAGGTTCAACAACAGAGACGTTCTAATTAATTACATTCTAATATAATGTTAGACCAACACTATAACAGAGTATGGCCCATAACAAAGATCTGGATTGATTGTTGGGATCAGTCAAGGGACAGCTGCAAGCCATACCCATCCTTCAGATTTCTGATGCTGTATAGGAAGGAGCATCCACCCAGATCTTTCCAGTTTTCTAAATCTTGGCTGACAGGTGTCTGTCCACACAATGACAGCAACACAATAAACTGCTCAGCTACATTCTGTGACTGGGCACAGAGGGAAATTCCCCTCTCCCCTGCTTCAGGCTGATTCACCCAGGATAAAAGGAAGCAGTTTCTTGGATGAACTATGACTGAACATTGCACTAGTGACACCCTTTTAGGAGCTTTCAGCCTGGCAGTTGTATAATCATGAAGTGTACCTGCAAAATGTATAAGAAAGAAAAAGCTTTGAGCAGTGTGACTTTAAGAAAGCAGGAAAGGGTGGGGAGGAAGGTTCACAAAGTCAGATGCTGTTTCTGTCCATCCCCATGAAGGTGAACTGTTCTCAGGTTTTCATTAGCTCTTAAAATTCCAGCTGCATATCTAATTTCCAGTCCCTACATATCCAGCTGAGGTATTACTTCCTTACTGCCCAAGTCAGGTTTTGTGTTCTACAAATGCTCTACAGAAATATCATTATAAATCCATAGCTGAAAGGGCCTGTGCATCTTAAGTGCTCTATCGTTTTCTACCTCTGAATATTCTGCCAGCAGAGATTTAGAACATTGGCTCTGTAAATGCTTTCATGTCAAGACTAAAGGCAACACTTGTTTAATTCATTCTTTGACCCAACAGCAGCTTTATCTTAGGTTATCACTTGTTAAGCTCTCTAGAATGTTTTAAACATGAAGGGGGCTGCTGTGTATATATACCCTGTCTATTGTATTTTACTTGCAGAAATTTGACAGTAGTGATTCATAAACATCAAAACCTTTTCCCCTCTGTGCTGTAAATTATGCTTTTCTTTAGCTCCATTCACAGGGTGTGTAACCCATTCCAGACAAAATAACAAAAAAAAAAAAAAGAAAATTATATTTGTCCCCTACCAAATTTGTAGTTCTTTATTATAGATCACTAGAGGCCACAGATTTATACACGTCTGCTTCTGTGTATATATTTTCATATATACTTTTGTGTATAAAGTTTGGTGTGCATATAAATATGCCTGTATGTACAGTTTGGGTATATGTGTGTTTATAAGTATAAATATGCACACACATGTGCACAATTTTATGTCCTGTGGTGTAAATGGAGGACTGGAGTTATGCATCAAATGTACTGCAGCCTGATTAGAATAACAACTAAGGTTTGCTGTACATCAAAATAATTTACACTACTCTGTGTAAACCCATCATTTCTGTAAGCAGGGAATTTATCTCTAAGTTGTCAAAACACAACTATATTTAAAATCAGCATCTAAAAATGACCCCTCAGAAATTACATCAACAGAATCCCGTTTGGATTTGCATTACATAACACAAATCAGAAAATCAAAAATTTTATATTATTGAGTCACAAGACTCTTGATATCAGTCTGTATTTTTACTGTCAGCAATGGGACAGACAACTTTTCACCCGAATTCATTCTCAGGTTGAAGTCTGATTCCTCTCTGAACATCTTGAGGGTGATCTGAGTACTTGCCATCCTCTTATAGGCTCTTTAAAAAACCCAAAATAACCAGCCAAAGCTAAAGGAAAAAAAAAAAAAAAGGCAAAAACCCGTAATTGAGTGGGAACCTTGTAGGGAGATTTGCAAAGTTTTGCAATACATTCCCCAGTCCAGATAAGCAAGGACCAACGCAGACAGAGCAATTTGGCCCTGTGCAACTGCTTAGTTACAGCACCTCTGTAACTAAGTGCAAATCAGCTGGGACATAGGCACTGAGAGCAGGAGACATCTGCCAGGTGCCTTGGCCCTGAGTAATTACTCAACAAGATATGTTAACCGGACTAATGTGAAAAAAACACCCTGAGTGGAAGAACAGGACAGCAAAAGTAACAGCTCCGTCAGGAAGGCAGTAGTTTAGAAATAAACTAGAATTTAAACTAGACAAAGTTTAAATTGTCTGACTTGTAACTGGAAGTAATAGCTGCCAGCAGCAAGTGGGATACTTAGAAGAGAGATTTCTTTTTGTCACCTGCTTGTTTTGAAGCACTTTATGGTTTTAATAGTTTTCAGGTGGTGCAGGAAGAAAAACCTATGAAAATATAATATGGAACTGCAGAAAGTAAGTCCCTCATACAGAATTAACTGGTTGTGGCAAGTGTACAGAACAGACAGGAGGTAAGCAAGAACAGTGTGCTAAAGTGAGTTGGACCCAGCCCTGACAAATAAAACCAGCAGAAGATGTTACCTACAGTGGGATTCAGCTCCACTAGTCACAGCTGTCAAAAAAGTTTAATGTCTAGTCAAATCTAATCCCTTATGCTCTAGAGGCTGGTGAGGCACAAGCACAAAAGATGGCTCCACAGGTTAATGAATCCCAACTATTTGGAAGACAGCTTAAACAGAAAGATCTGTCCTCTCAAAGAAGTAAAACCAAACACCATGGATGAAGCTTCCTTATTTTTTCCACACCTGCAGTAAAATGAGGAGAATCCCATCTATGACCTGGGCTGAGGCTCATAAGGAAAGAACAGTACCATAACATAATAGACATGCTGGAACAGCCAAAATCCTCAGTTTTTCATGTGTAATTGGGCAGGAGGGAAATAAATTTGTAAAATACTCCAACACCAGGTACTGTAAAAGATGTAGACAGACAGTGGTAGGCATTTCCCCTAAACTCTCATTCTATGCCATGAAAGTTAAAAGGATTTTAAACATACAATTATAACCAAAATATCAAGCCCCAGACAGGGTAGACTGAGGTCCTTGATGAATCAGACACTAGAAAAATTTTAAATTGCTGGAGTTTTAGCTCCCTTTTGAGTTCAGAATGGCATCTATTTCAGTTTGCTGTCATAACCTGTAACAAAGGAAAATCATAGCTCATACTTAACAACGAAACCATACCTCCATTTATTTTTTTGAAAGAATATATGCATGTTTTTTAAGAATTATAAACAGTCAGCCCTGAGACCAGTTGATGTTAATGATTTTCTAATCAATGCATGGATTTTTCTTAAATAAATAGATAAATCATCTGTCAGTACTGTGCTTCTTCTTCCATTAATGTCATAGCCATGAAAAAGGTATGACAAAGGAATAATGTAATATGCTCCCCTGGCACTGAGTCAATGACATCTTTTTAGAATGTGAGTAGAAGAAATTATTTCAGACATATATTTTGAATATCTATTTGAAGCTATCATGTTGCAGTGAATAAAATGTGTTTATCCCTGCTTAGTCTGCAATCAAGTGGCTTAGCAGGCTGATGTTCTCATAGCTTTAACTTTCTTGCTTGGCAGGGGATCAGCCTCTCTTTGCTGCTCACATTGAGCAAACTTGCATATTTCAATCCTTCTGGAGTCCTTCTCTGAGATGATGAGCTATAGTGTACCTTTTGGCCTGCAAAGAAATTGTGTGTCTGGGACCATTCCCCTCAGACAGGGCAGGACCTCAGAGAGGGGCTGTTGGTGAAGCAACTTCACCATCAATGTCATTACAAACAATGTGGCTTCTTAGCAAAATGCTTGAAACACACGCAGAGAACTAAATTACCCATGAACAACAACAAAATCCTGTCTATCACCGCTGTAGATAAAAATACCCAGATGGAAGCTATGGGACTAAATAACCTGAACTTGAATGCAATTATCTGGGGCGTTTTGTTTCCTTGCAGGTCATATAGAAAGAAAAAACAGTGCTACACCTTTGATGTAGTTTTAATAAATATTCAAAGTCCCTTCAATTACTGCCTGAATAATTACTGTGGATGCAAATAAAATGGGGAAAACCAGAATGACTTTCTGGTCTTCCTCAGGGGAATGGACTTTGGAAGTAGCAGCACTGAATTGGATGTGAGGCAACTTCAAAAAAAGAGGAAAGGAGAAAGCTGAGAATAGTAGGTATTGTATGCCTCTCAAAGGCATTACATTGGTAGTTATGCATGTAAAAGAGTCTACATTAGCACTACAGCCTTCCACCACAGTGAGTGGCCAACTACAGTTTTGGAAATACTTTCTTCTCTTTGTGACCTGAGGGAAGTCTCTGCATTCCCTTGCTGTCTGCTTCAGTGAATGTTTTACAGCAAA